CATTCGAAGAAGATGCTTTGGTCAATGTCCCGGCGACGGTTGGATAGATGGATGGATGGATGGGTGTTACCTTCCATTCCCGGGACTGTGGCCTTGGCATGGTGGCACGGGGTGGCACGGCTTTCAGTTTCCCCTTGCCCTGCCTTCCCCCTCAGCTCGACAGCAGGCTGCCATCCAGTGAAGCGTAGCTGCGAGCGAAAGATGGCAGCTCGGACACTCCCCTTCCATTCTTGCTGCTTCTTGGCCTGCTTACATCCTATAACAGTGGTGGCGAACCTATGGCACGGGTGCCAGAGGCGGCACTCGGAGCCCTCTCTGTGGGCACACGTGCCGTTGTCCCAGCCTCATCTCCCCCCGCGACCCCCTCTTCTCCAGCAGCCCCCCTGGAGGAGAGTCGCCCCTGAGCGTGGCCCACGCGGAGCAGCGCAGCCAAGGATATGGCAGCCAGGCAGCGCAGACAAGACTCTCACGCCCTCACGCCCCATCATGCAGTTGAACCAGCCCCTGCCGCGTCGGCCCCGCCCCTGGGTGCATGCTGGGGAGTTGTCACCCTTTGTGAGGAATGAAGAAATGGACCGTCGCCTGGAAGTGGCCAGCAAATGGCCCTCACCTACTTCACATATCCAGCTTGATGGGCTCCGGTGGAGGGGTTTCAGCAGGCAGTGAGGCTCCTCCAGTGGACCCTGCCTTGGCACTTGCCCCGGTCCCACCCCCTTCTGCCAGAGACCCTCAGATCTGTCCCACTCCTGCCCAGGCCCCCACAGGCACCCTTGACGCGAACCCACCCTGGCCACACCGCCCCCCCGCCCCCCCGAGGGCAACAGCAATGCTGATGCGGCCCTCAATGAAATTGAGTTTGACACCCCTCTTCTAGAGGCTTGGATGACGTCACAGCAGCTCAACCACTGACTGATGCCAGGTCCTGGGGTGGGTTGCAGCCTATTTGTCAAGCTTCGAAAGACTCCGACACTGTTTCTTCCATTGTGGCTTTGTAGCTTGCCTACAGACTCGGAGGGAGGGAAGGGGTGAATGGAACGCAGACCTCAGGTAGCGTGAGAACCAGGGTCGTTTGAGAGCTGCTTGCTCAGAACTGAAGACTCTCTTCTCATAACAAATGTGTAAAGTTTCATTGGACAATGTGACCTGCTGGCTTTAGGGGAGGGGGACTTTTATGCTTTTACTATAGTGATCTTGGCGCCAATTCACCGGAGCTGCTTTCCCTTTCATCTGTGCCGAAATATTTTACTCAATAAAGTTTTGCATTAGAGATCTGGATGTCTCAGCTGCGCTTACTTTGCTGTTTCCTCAAGCTGGAACCGTGACGCTATTACTAAAGATTAATCTATTTGAGACTGGATTGCACAGTTGGTTAGTTTTGTAGAAGAAGCGGTTGAGATCAGCCCCACTCACCATTTCTTTCCTTTTTGCAGTTTTTTATTCACTGGACCGCTCAGTCATTACTTCTACCTCTACCTGGAGCAACTCATTCCTTCAGAGGCCCCTTTTGCGCTCGTCAAACGTCTGCTGGTGGACCGTCTCATCGTCTCCCCGGCCTTCCTGGCCCTCTTTTTCCTCGTCATGAACTTTTTGGAGGTAGGGTCTTGCTTAGGGATGATCTGAGGGCAGCCGGTTTGACCCCTTTTCCCTGCTGGAAGGCAAATGGGTGGCTCTCCGGCTTCTGCTGGGACACATCCGGTTCTACTGTCCTTACTGGGAAGAATGGCTTGGGTTTTTTTTTTGAGTACAGATAGTCCTTGCCTTATCACCACAGTTGAGCCCAAAATTTCTGTGGTTAAATGAGACATTTATTTAGAATAGAGTGGAGTAGAGTAGAATTACAGAATAGAATAGAATAGAATAGAATAGAATTACAGAATAGAATAGAATAGAATAGAATTACAGAATAGAATAGAATAGAATAGACTAGAATTACAGAATGGAAAGAATAGAATAGAATTACAGAATAGAATAGAATTACAGAATAGAAGAGAATAGAATGGAATGGAATGGAATAGAATTACAGAATAGAATAGAATAGAATAGAATAGAATTACAGAATAGAATAGAATTACAGAATAGAATAGAATTACAGAATGGAATAGAATAGAATAGAATTACAGAATAGAATAGAATAGAATTACAGAATAGAATAGAATAGAATTACAGAATAGAATAGAATAGAATAGAATAGAATAGAATAGAATTACAGAATAGGATAGAATGGAATGGAATAGAATAGAATAGAATAGAATAGAGCTGGAAGGGACCTTGGAGGTCTTCTAGTCCAGCCCCCTGCTCAAGTAGGAGACCCTATACCATTTCAGACAAGTGACTGTCCAGTCTCTTCTTAAAAACCTCCAGTGATGGGGCGCCCACGATTTCTGGTGGCAAGCTGTTCCACTGGTTGATTGTCCTCACTGTCAGGAAGTTTCTCCTTAATTCCAGGTTGCTTCTCTCCTTGATCAGCTTCCATCCATTGTTTCTTGTCCTGCCCTCTGGTGCTTTGGAGAATAATTTGACCCCCTCTTTTTTGTGGCAGCCCCTCAAATACTGGAATGCTGCTATCATGCGCTATTTCTTCTTTTCTTTAGACTAGCCAAACTCAAGTCCCGCAGCCGTTCTTTGTACGTTTTAGTCTCCAGGCCAGGCATGTTCTCCTGCTGTCTTCGCTTCTACAAGGAGTGCCTTGTGGCAATTAAAGGAACAGACAGTTCTGAACAGCACAAAGAGAACTGTTGCATCATAATCAGGAGAAGCGAAAACAAAGCCTCAAAGCACCAGAGGGCAGGGCGAGAAACAATGGTTGGAAACTGACCAAAGAGAGAAGCAACCTGGAATTAAGGAGAAACTTCCTAACAGTGAGGACAATTAACCAGTGGAACAGCTTGCCTCTAGAGGTTGTGGGCGCTCCATCACTGGAAATTTTTAAGAAGAGACTGGACATTCACTTGTCTGAAATGGTCTAGGGTCTTTCTGCTTGAGCAGGGGGCTGGACTAGAAGACCTCCAAGGTCCCTTCCAGCTCCTATTCTATTCTATTCTATTCTATTCTATTCTATTCTATTCTATTCTATTTTCTATTCTATTTTCTATTCTATTCTATTCCATTCCATATCCTATCCTATCCTATCCTATCTTTATTATTCTATTCTATTCTATTTTCTATTCTATTCTATTTTCTATTCTATTCTATTTTCTATTCTATTCTATTTTCTATTCTATTTTTTATTCTATTCCATTCCATATCCTATCCTATCCTATCCTTATTATTCTATTCTATTCTATTCTATTCTATTCTATTCTATTCTATTCTATTCTATTCTATTCTATTCTATTCCCCTACATAAATATGACAAAAATAAATAAATACAGAATTATGCATATACCCACATATATTATACGGCACAGAGAAACAACACAGCCATTAAACAGCACCACTATTAACCAAATAGTACGCAACACTAAGAAAAAGATCAGCCAATAATCACATCATGAAATCCAGTTTCGCGTTGTGGTTAAGACTCCAGCCTGGAAATCAAGAACTTACACTTTTCTACTCCTGTTGTAGTCAGCAAAAACAACTGGGTGACTTTGGACCCGCTCAACCTTTGGAAGAAAACAAGATCAAATCTTGCCAAGAAAACTTTATGTACTTGTCCAGGAAGTCACCAGGAGTTAAAAAAAAACTGATTTGAAGTCACCAAAATAAAATCACATGGGCCAAAAAGCTACAATTGGATAAAGTGCTTTTCAAATCCATCTGGAATGCAAGCTGTGTGTTTCTATTTGTCCAACAACTTGCAAAGCACCTGAAGGCCGGAAAAGGAACAACGGATGGAAACTGATCAAGGAGAGATTCAACCTGGAAATAAGGAGAAATTTTCTGACAGTGAGAACCATCAACCAATGGAACAGATGTTGTGGGAGCTTCATCACTGGAGGCTTTCAAGACGAGACTGGGCTCCCATCTGTCAGAAATGGTGCAGTAGGATCTCCTGCTTGGGTGGGGGGTTGGACTAGATGACCCGCAAGGTCCCTTCCAACTCTTGTTATTCTGATTCTGATTCCAGAACAGTGGGGGGGGG